ATAGGGACAGCTGCCAGTACCGATTGGCATAGTGTTAGGCATCCTGCCATACTTATTTATTTTTGTTTTCAATGAAGTGGATCTTTTCATGACTTTGTAGATTATCGACTGGAAGGTGTCTTTCTTGATTCTGCCATGAATTATGGGTGCTCCCAAGTACTTTCCCAAGTTGTCAACGAGCTTAACTCCCAAATTGGAACTCAGAAAGGTGGCGGTTGATGCATCAATGTTCGGTGAATAGTATTCAGGGATTTGTTGGCATTGATGGCTTGCCCTGATGCCTTGCAGAAGTTTTCTAATGTGTTGTGGATTGTTTGTACCTGGTCTCCATCTGCTTCTGCAAAGAGAATGAGATCATCGACGAAAAATAGGTGTGAGAGCTTTACCTGGCTGTTTTCGAAGGTCAGTGGCTTCCAGCGATTTTCTTGGACTTCTTTGTTGATGCCGTGCGATAATCTCTCCATCCAAAGTATGAAGACGTAGGGAGAGAAAGGGTCTCTCTGACGGACACCTCTAGAGGGGCTGAAAGTTTCGCCTAGTTGACCCTTCCATAAAACTTGTGTGGATCCCGTCCTCAATGAACTGAGTATGATATTGCTGAGAACTTGTGGGATTTTGGCGTCTTGCAGCGTATCTTCTACAAAATTCTAGGTAATGTGATCAAAGGCTTTTGCTAGATCAATTTTAATTGCCATCCAACCCTTTTTACCTGTGGTGGTTCTCATAGTATGAATTGCTTCTTGGGTAGTCACTATATTTCCAATGATACTCCTATCCGATATGAAGCTGGACTGCGTTGATGCTATGAGGGTGGACATGACTTTTTAAGTCTGTTGGCCACCACTTTAGAGATGATCTTCACAGAGACATTGATGAGACTGATGGGTCTGAGATTCTGGAATCTCTCGGGTGGGTTGACTTTCGATATAAGGACTATCATAGTTTTGTTTATGTTAGGATTAATTTGACCTGTTGAAAAAGCGTTTCTTACCATTTGACATGTTTTCAGTTGCCACATTCCAATTCTTTTGGTAGAAGCCAGCTCTGAAGCCGTCTATACGGCAAGCTTTGGATTGATCCATCTCGAAGACAGCAGATCTTACCTCTTCATCCAAAAGTGGTCTGGACAGTAGACGTTCCATTCTTGGAGGTATGGTCGGGAAATTTCCATTAATGTGATATTTACTCTCCTGGGTTTGCTGTTTAAGCATATATGTTGCGGAAGAACTTGGTTGTCTCATGTCCTAATGTGTTTGAATTAGAGCGCCAGGCGCCACTTTGTAACTGCATTTCTATAATTTTTCCTCCCTGGTTCTTTGTCCTATGAATTGCGTGCAAAGCTTTCGTGTTGCGGTCCCCATCAAGTATCTGGATTGATCTTGAATTTGGGCTTTTACTTTTTCTTCTTGGGTGACCGTGTTTTCATATTCAAGTCTAAGCTCTTTTTCCAAAAATTCCAAATTGTGGGAGTGGCGTGGCTAGTGCCTTCTGAATGCCCTCTATCCTTTCTATCAATTTCCTCTTTCTTTTGTATATGTCTCCAAAGATATTAAATTTCCAATCATCTATATTTTGTAATAGGATGTTTTGAGCTTCTGGGAGGTCTTTTCCTTGTTGCCAAGTTTTGGATAGCTAGTTTTGCCACTCAGAATGATCTCCCATGCAAGTGAGATATCTGAAGAATTTAGTTTCATAGTTTGGAGAGTCATTCCTAGTAAATTGGACCATGATTGGAGAGTGGTCAGAGGACAGCCTTGGTAGATGTTGAACTATGGTATTCGCAAAGCATTTGCCGGACTTTGAATTTACTAGAGCTCTATCTAGGCGTACATGGCATGCTCTTCTTTTTCAGGTGAATCTTGTGCCCTGAAAGCCTAGAATAGTCATTTCGGAGTCTTGAGTCCATGCTATGAATCTTTTGCAACCTTTGGTTCTTCTTCCTCTGATCTTGTCTGCTTCATCAGTTATATCGTTGAAATCTCCAAGGGCTATCCATGGTTTAGTAATGGTACCTGCAATATGGTCAAGATTCTCCCACAGTATACGCCTTGTTAGCCTTTGGAGGCTACCGTACACTGCGGTGATGTAGGAAACAAAGTTATCCTGGAAAAAGGCCTTACAATGAATAAACTGCTAGTCATTTTCGATGACTATTAGTTTTATTGGATCGTGCCAGAGAAGCCATATTGCTCCTGCAAATCCTACAGACTCGATTCTATCAGAGTTTTGAAATCGTGTTGATTTTATTATATTTTCTGCTGATCCTCCGCTAATTTTTGGTTCCAACAGGATTAGTATATGTACATTGTAAATTTTGAGTAAATCTTTTAGGACTGAGATGGTTGTTTCATTCGCAATACCTTGCATATTCCAAGACATAATTCAGTGACTCATATATAAATTATGTGGAATTGAGAGGGGCTTACCTGCCAAAATCAGCTTTAGCATCCGAAAGCAGCTCATCCTCATTCATAGGGTTGAAAGCGTCTAATGTTGTACTATCAAGTGTAATTTCGTGCATGAACTCTTGCTCATCACTGCACAATATTTCCTCATCTGTGTTTGATGTAGACTTGTTTGTTTTCGGTGTCTGGATTTTTATTTTGGGTTTTAGATGAAAACCTTGGGTTGGATCGGATGGTTTAAGGGAGGTTGGTGGGTCTTTGATTGGTTATGTTTGGGCTGGATTTGGGCTTTATTCCTTTGATGCTTTGAGGGTTGGTGGGTTTGAATGTGGGAGGGTAATAGCTGTGTGCTTTGATGCACTTTGTTCCTCTGAGGTGATTGGGGTGGTTTCCTATGATTTGTTTGCTGGTGTGGGTTGGCATGTGGGTGAATTTTGAGTATCTGGACTGGGGTCATTTTGTGGAGGCTGGCATGTTGGGCTTGGGGTGGACTTGGATGATTTTTTAATCTAGGCTCTATCTCTGCCCATAGTTTCGGGTTTTTCTTTTGTTTTGACCATTGAAGGTGGACTGACCATTTGGAGTTGGGTTGGGCTTTTTGGTGTTTGATGTTTTTGGATTACCTTGGGAGGCTGACCAGCTGTGAAGACAGGAGTGTTGTTCTAATCGAAAGAAGTCTTCAATGGTGGCCTGTCTGCGGGGAACGATTTGGTACCCGATACAGAGGCTTCGTTGTTGGATTCCAGGTTCATGTCCGTAAGAGCTGCAAAGGGATTATGCAGAATACCTGAGGACGTGCTGGGTGGTACAACTCTGTTTCGGTGTACCCATGGGTTTGTCTGAGAGCGTCTGCTACGTCTGGGCGCGTGGCACAACTCATCACAGTGGAGAGCCATTGTTGAGTTGTTGAATTCTGTGCAGACTGTGTTCCTGGGGACTTGACCGTTGGACCTTCCATCTGTGCCTTTGGCTGGTTGTTGTTTTCCAGTGGTCCCGGCTGTTCTGATGCTAATGTGACATTGTGCTCCGGCGGTGTGTTCATCGGAAAGTCCTTGCAGTTGCTCCTAAGGTGGTAATATTTTCCACAGAAGTAGCATATCAGCTGGAGGTCCTCATATCTAATACTATACTCTCTTCCATCAATTTGGGTTTTTCCGGTAAGAGGTCTAGTAAGATCCAATTCAATTGCTATTCTAGCATACTATCCTCTTTCAACCGTAATTGTATTCTTATCGGCTCTTATGAATTTTCCCAACGGCTTGGCTATACTTTGAAGGAGACCGATATGGAAATATTTGACGGGGAGCCCGGGGATCCTGATCCAGGTGGGTACAACGGTGATATTCTCATCCTCGGTGTTAAAATCATCATGCCATGGAAGAACGATGATGTAGAGTTCATCTAGAGACCATGGTCCGTTAGCGGAGCTGTGTAGTAGTCTTCTTCATTTGTAAGGCGTAGGAAGTGATATCCATCTATGGTATCAACGGCTTTGATGTCTCCCTTGATTTTCCAAAGGCACTTGAGTCTTCTATGAAGCCTATCCCTCCAAATTTCAATTCCCAGTGGTTTCACTACCACAGTGTAAATCATGGCAGTCTTCATTTAGACTTGTACTCTATCGGAGAAACGAGTTGAGGGGACCCTATCTTCCATGCCATAAGTCACATCATCATCTTCCATGGTGACGGTATTCATATGGAAACTATTTGTGAATTAATTCACTTTATTATGGAATAATCTATCTCTGAAAGATGGCATGCCCTCAGTTGGGGTTGGTTCTTCTTGCTGGTGCTGGTTGATTAGGGGGTAGACAAGGGTTTGGGGGTCTCGAATTTTGACTTTGGTTGTGGCTGGGTTGTCCTTGTCGTGTTTGGCAAGGATATTTCTACCATCTCCGAGTCCATTTGAACTGGAGAAGGGGAGGGGGGGAGGAGGGAGAGAGTACTATTTGCTGGTTGAAAAGTTAGAAAGAATAAACCTTAGAGAGAGAAGTTTTGAAATTAAATATAAATGACTTATATTAAAGACACAAGGGAGTACGCTTTAAGGGCTTGACATAATAATATTCAACGGGCTTTTCTCAATTCTTTTATGGGATTTCATCCTATAAAGATTACTTAAACGTAAAAAGTCCATAACATGTGTAATGCTCCGGCCAATTCAAGATCAGAACAAGGAAGAAATCGACGAAATCGGGAACGGTAAGTTGGAGAGCTAGGGGTTTTGAGAACCACCCCGAAGGGGAAACAACTATTTTCAATTCAATTCAACATTTCGATAATTCTGTTTACACCCCAGGGAGACTATATATAGCCTTCCAAGTTTACGAAACTACCTATAAGCCCCTGTACTATTGAATTGAGACGATGAAGACCTCAATTCATGACAACATGTTTCAAAAGGAAAAGCCCATAGACAATTATCTTCTAGAAGTCATATTGGCCTTGAGTAAACGGTTCGTCTTTCCACCCAAAACTTCTTAACAGAGGTTTCTGGAACAAATATCAATAATCAAGTCAGTAATCAAAAGAATCTGCAGAGATTTCCCATCATTTTGCCAAAAGAAGACTTTTGCAGTGCTGAAACTCAAGAATGGTGGTGATTGAACCGGTTGTTTCACCGAACGTGGAGGAGGAGAAGGTGGAGAAAAGAATCCCCGAAGTGAAAAACCCGGCGAAAGATGAATCCACGGCGTCATCATCATCAGCGGCTGCAGATTGTGCTGCAGGATACGCTTCCGATGGGTTCGAAACAGCCAGCGAAGCTGACCTCACCGAAGAGGATACTGTAGGAGAAGAATCGGAGCGAGTGATTGAGAACACAACCGAAGCTGAAACACGAACTGAGGACCAAGGGGAGACGCGGGAAGAGGGACCAGTGGAATTGAATCAAGAGGAAATCAACGAGGTAATTCTTTTTATTTTTCCCTTAACCTTAGATATTTATATTTGTTTAATTGATTTGTTGCTTCTTGAAATTTGGTGTTGTTTGTTCACTATTGATACAAATTAGTCTATTCAATGACTTAAGAGAAGATTTTTGTATCCGTATTTGATCATTGTGTAAGCTGCAATTAGTATTCAACTGCTGAGACTTTGTAGTGTACTAGGTAAAACATCAAAGGTAGACAGTATTCCCTTTTCATAGACATAGATGGAAGTGATAGTTTCCTCTCAACCTCTAGTGAGATGTTTCCTATAATGTGAAATGGTGTGCATTGGAGCAGACTATGTTACCCAGACTCGGTACGGGTGTCGTATCGGGTGTGGTGAGTGGCGAACTAGTCAACATTTTAGAAATATTAGACAGTTTACACCAAAATGCCACACCAGACACTCATACCCATACTAGTGCCGTGTCGTATTGGCACGGTTATTCTCCCCAAATTGAAGAGCCCGGGTAACCCACCCCCTGGGTTCTTATTAGAAATCATGAATTGGAACCTTGACATTTTGGAATAACATGGCAATAGTTAGAGATAAGAATAAGATAAGATGCGAATAAATTCGTATTAAAATTACTTCATTTGACAGAGCTTAAGAAGTCAACACTTGGAACCTTGACATTTTGAATAGCATGACAGCAGTTACGAGATAAAGAATTCTAATAAGATGCGAAGAAGTTCTTATTAAGATTACTTCATTTGACAGAGCTCATTATTCTATACCAAGAGGAACCATTTGTAAGCAGCATACTGGTTTGTATTTTCTAACCGTATTTTTTCTGTATGGCAAGATAAAGAAATGGGAAAACTTTGTGTTATTTTAAGAGTTGGGAAAAATTCACCAATTCTGCCATAGTGCATTAATGTGGTGTGTTGTTGCTTTAGTTACAATCTTTTGTGCTGATAATAAACTGACATTTTCTGATAGTTTTTACTTGGTAAATTATAGGTAATGGGAAAAATAGAGTTTAGTGCTTAATGACTTTAGGTTCTACTACTAAAATGGCCATAACAGAAAACAATTCATCTCTTATATGTATCCAGTGAAGGAAGCTTTACTCTGAGATGACTGTGCTGTCCCTAATCCTAAATGAACTCACTCAATGGGCTGTTATACTTGTGTTTTTCATTAGCATGAAGTTTATTTTTATAACGCCCGGCCCTTTTGGTGACGTTTTTACTTTCTGGATTGTTTATGTGCTTTACACACCTTTTTGGTTTTGATCAGAAAGCATTAACAGATGCAAACAATGCTAAAGCTGAAGGTAACAATTTGTTCAAAGATGGGCTCTACGAAGAAGCTTTATTGAAGTATGACATTGCCTTACAAGGTGTGGAAAATATACCCTCCTCTTCTGAACTGTGTTCGGTGTGCCATGCTAATCGTGCTGCATGCTATTCCAAAATGGTAAGCTTATAAAGTGTTGTAATATAGACTATCCTTTCCTCTAAATTGCACTTTAAGTGGTTAAGCATCTTATAGTTTAGTGTAGTATTCGTCTCCTCAAGAATATTAGGAACTTTTTAGTTGTTTGGATCTTTTAGTTTTAGTAATGCCTCATTATCTTTTCGGAAATTATAGTTGTTGGAGATTGAGTTAAGTGAAGGCTGTTTACTTGTGATTCAAACAATAAAATCTAAAGTCTTCTTCATAGATGACTAGAACCTCATAATTCCCTTGCAAAAATATTCCATTTCCCTGGTTGTATATCTTTGTTTGTTGTTGGCATTTTCTGCATCCTGGAATTCCCTAAAATTGTTTTTTGATGGAACATCTGATGTTGGTTCTTACAGGGAAAATTTGAGGATGCTGTCAAGGAGTGCACAAAAGCTTTGGAACTGAACCCCAAATACATGAAGGTGCTTCTTAGAAGAGCAGAGGCTCAAGAAAAACTAGAACACTTTGATGAGGCTATTTCTGGTATGTAGCTCCGGAAATTGGTTCATACTATGATTGAATTCTGCTGCATTTTTTTCTTATGATCTTGTTTTCTCTGGGCATCATTCTCAATATTGTGAGAATGGGGCATCTTCAGTATGATCTGTCTTTCCCTGCTGATTTATTACTAATTGTGCTAATAAACCAATCTGTAATGTCGCTATTGATTCTTCAGTATTCTTGTTTCCTGTGCTGAGGTGTTTTGATTTTCACAGATATGACAAAAGTCTTAGAGATTGACCCAGGAAATGACCAGGCTAGAAGAACTATCGTCCATTTGAAGCCATTGGCAGAAGAAAAACGTGAAAAGATGAAGGAAGAGATGATTGGTGAGCACCTCTCGATCTTATTTGGTTTCTTGCAACATAAATTGACTTCTTTTACTGTCTTGCATTTATATGGGGAATGGGATGTGTCGCTGTTCCCTCCTTTTTCTGTCTCAAACTCTCATTAGCTGGAGTAAAATAGTGCGTCAGAGAGTGTCATGTAACAATATTTCTATTTTTCTGGAAACATGCTTATAGAGTTACATCAGGCTATGTGCTCAGAGCAAGGCCTAGGATAAAGAGAAAAATAATACAATAACCCTGAACACACCAAGAAAATCTTTATTTGTGGCAGTTATCCATGTGCTCAGGACTGATTAAACCTTTTGTAGTTAAATTTCTGTCTTCAGTTCTGGGTTACCTGATCTCTAGATCTGAGATTGTAGAAAATTCTATTACCTCAGATACTATGATCCGATTCCGGCTCAGGGTACACTGCGATCCTCGTTCATTGTCTGCCTTTGATGTTATTTTATGTTTATAATTTACTTACCCAAATACACAGGAATCACATCTTTAGAAAAGCGAGAAAAATCAGCCTTGATAAGATGAGATAGGTTGGTTTTAGACTTGTTGTGAAGTTGAATACTGTTTGGGAAACATTGGTGGCACAGATGAGCAGTTTTTACTGTCTGTTTTCCACCCATTTTATTTGCTAGTTGGAGATATTAACAGCAGCACGGATCAAAACTAACTTACAAATTAATTTTATTATACAGGCATATTTTGGTCTTCTGTCTTTCTGTTGTATTCTGTGGGTCGCCAAATCAATAAACCTTTTTATATTCTTAATGAACCTTTTTACATTTGTATTTACCTTTTTAATGCAAACCAAACACAACCTTGAGGATCTGAATATCTCATGTCAGCGTCCTGTTACAGATGGTGGACATATACGCTGCATATGTTCCTACTTTTGATTCTTTTTTCTTTGTTTTTTTCATTGCATGTGGAGATTTTAACACAACCAGATACTATACTTGTTATTTTCACTAACCCCTATTCAGTATGCAACATGAAAACTAGTTTATTTTCATCTTAATTTTCTGAATTTGTGTGTTTCTTTATAGAGATGCTCTTTTTTTACTCCTTCCGTCCCATAAAAATAGTCAACTTCGTTGTACTGTTTTAATTATTTTTTTGGGGCAGAGGGAGTATCTTATTGCTGTTTCATTATTCTTGTCTTTCGTTATCGTTTGATGAACTTAGGTCCGTTGTCCTCTTCTGATTCTACTAGCTCTTTGTAGATTTCTCCATTACTGTTTTCTCTCTCTACTGATTGAGCATAAATGCTTGCAATGATTCATAGTTTTCCACTTGTGTTTTGATAACTTGAACGACGTAAGTTTCTTCCTTGAACAGGTAAGCTAAAGGAAATGGGGAATTCACTTTTGGGTCGATTTGGAATGAGCGTAGACAATTTCAAAGCTGTGAAAGATCCAAATACTGGTTCTTATTCCATCTCATTCCAGCGCTAAATTAAGTTTTGTCAAGTTTTTATTACGTTCATTCTTTAGTATGTAACTTATACGCAGTGATAGAGTTGGATAATACCTTGGGATGGTGGGCTCATTTTGATCACTACATATTCGTGTTATTTGTAATGGTGGGCATCAGCAAAAACTTGTTATGGGTTGTACATTAATATATGTCGGATTATTCATTGCGCGTTTTGATTGTGTTGGTTTTGATTGCTTGTGTACATTAGTGCCACAAAGTACAAAGGCATGAACATTTGGCCTTTTTTTGCAAACCAGAACAAATACCTTTCATTCACAATGTAGCTTAAGTTTCTAAACAGAAATTCCTTTCTAAGCTCTGACATGTACGCAGGCTCTTTAATTAGTTAATCTAGTTTCTCTCTCAATGGCCTCTTTGATGCTTGGGAACCGATTCGCCCAAAGAGAGTAACTGGTAGAAATTATTTGATAAAAATCAGCTTCTCCTTTCGTATCATCAGGCACCAAACCCTTGGCATGAACGGCTAAGCTTTTAATCATGAGCTGCGATAAATGATTCAAATCCTCTTTAGTAAAGTTCAGATGACACAGTAGAGCCTCTTCAGATGTTGACTCATGTTGACACCATCATGAGGATACCCGGGTTGTTTGTGTTCTGTGACCTGACCAGCGCGGCAAGGCTCCCAGAAGTTTGAAAACAGAAGCATACACCAACGCAGATCTCAAATGTACCCGGTTCAGTAGGAAGTTCAAAACCGCGCGACATGTCATGAACATGGCAGACTCATCTTCACCCCTATTACCGCTTGGGAGGATGAAACTAACAAGGTAGTCGATCACAGCTTCCAATGCTCCAGATGTCACAAAAAGTTCACATCCATCGGCCCTCAAAGTCATTTGACATAGCATTGGAAGCAGAAAGCAGGTTGAGTAGTAAAAAGGTCTAACTTCACTTCCCCTTGAACGGAAAGCATAAAACTTAAGAAGTTCCACCACCTTTTCTCTGCATATATCAGGTGTTTCTGCAAGATATCGACCAATTACTCGAACCGAGGCAAAGAGATCATCTCCTTTGTTCTGGCCATGTTCCTTGGCATCTTGTAGATACTCAAGAACAACGCTTACCGTCTCATTCAGTCCAGACATGATTTTCATCAAGATGCTGTCACTTAATATCGCTGCATCTGGAAAATGTGAGTCTTCTTCATGATCTTCACCTTCAAATTTTGAAACGAGTTCTATTACTGCCTCGACTAAAGAAAACATGATACTGAGGTTTCTACACTTCACTGCCATGGTTTCAATAAGTGATGATGATGATAATGCTGTAGTAGTTTTAGAGGCTTCATTTCTCAAGTACGCTAAAACATTGAGGACAGCTATTTCCACCCTGGAAGTCTCAAAGACAAGTTGGATACACCTGTTAGCAGGGATCGGATCGCTGGTGATCACATCTGGTAGCTCTACGGACCAATTAACCATTCTTCGCCAACAATCGAAATGGTGGATTACGCTAAGAAGAGAGCTTGAAGTTTGTCTGCAGGCCGGACTCGGCTATTCAAGATTGCGACGACACCAGCTCGCATGTTATTCGACCAGACAGTACCAGCAGAATCCTCCTCCACGGACCAAAGAGCACTGCGTACAGGCGCTGAATACAGCGAGGATAAAATGACAGATAAAAGGCGAAGTGCTTTAAATTTGACATCAGTATGTAACAAGCCGAATCTCCGGGTTGCTTCAACGACAAACATGACCAGCTCTGATGGATGTTTGATGTAAATTTCCTCAGCAGGCAACTTAGTTATCATAAGCTGAACAAGTTCCATTGCGCAATTTATGACTACATTTGAACCATCTGAAGGCAGAGTGGGCATCTGAGAAGCTAGAAATTGGATCCCTTCAGAATCATACAGTACCCTGACACCATCTTCTTGAGCACTTGCAACCAAATACAAGAACTCATAGCAATCTTCAATTGAAGTAGAAGGGATTGAATCTGAATCAGGAGCGGAATGGCAGGAAGCATTTGTTGAGAAGCTGCAATTTGGGGAATTCTGCAAAAAGCAGCCAGTAAGGTAACCGATAGATCCAAGTAAGCATCGAGAGTTTCCCCTCCCTCTTTACCGAAACCGGTGCGCAGGAGACGGAGAAGAAATTGAACGCCTACGGCGTCGTATACTTGCAGGATGCCGCCGGAATTGTTGCAAACTTTGGATGTTGCCGCCGATGATGCGGCTTCGCCGGAAGAAGTTTCTACGGGCATTGCCGGAACTATATTGGATGGTCGCCGGAGCTTTGGAAACAATGAAATAGGCGTAGTACAACCCTTTTCATAGTTCATAATAGGAACCCAAACTCCAAATCCGAGTCTCCTTTCAGGATTCTAGAGTAGTCTGTTAGATTTGGATTTCGAGTGAAGTTACCAATATGAATCAGTTACAAAATCACTGAAAAATGTATTATACAATCATAACGATTATTTACTTGCTGCTAATTTCATAGGGTCATTCATCCCTATCAATGTCCCAATCTCCAGAAATTCCAATCACAAATTGGAAAAACCTCCAAGTGAGATTCTTGCCAACTGCGACTCTCCGACAGATTTCTACTGGATGGTCCTTTCCTTTTACCCTACAACTAATCAATATAGCTATCATGTATACACACTTATACAGACTAGAGAAGATCATGTATGAGTTGATACGAGCTGATGAGACCAAAAATCATAAGTAATCCATGGGAAGTTCCCAATCAACACCACCCTCTTTTTCTACCTTCTCTCTGCCTACAAACTTCTTCCTTCTTTGCCTAATGTAATCGTGATCGGGTAAGTCAGAATTATCATCATCCTCTGAATAGCATTCCTCAGGTTCATCATCATCACCTTTTGAGTACCTGTATTTGTCTCCTCCCATATTCTTCTTCCGGGATGGGGCAGTGGAACCACCCCAAAATCCCTGCCAAAGAAACCATCACCAGGACACCAGTTTTGATCAGTTCAAAATTTGTGTGATCTCCATTTACAAGTACACAACTCACAATGTACTGACACATAACAGTAAACCAGCATGAAAGATCTAGCGAGGAATCCTCTATGCTGATGCATGGTAACGATGCTACTCCAGACAGCATTAACATCAGCAGAAATATTGACAAGGACGAGTGACTTGTTGAACGAAACCTATTTAACCAAAGATAAACTTGGATGATTAGCAGCATCACACTCATCAGACACACATTTTACCTTTGTAAGCCTCTGTATCCGAGATGCTGCAGCTTCATGAACCATGACCGTATCAGTTGAAACTCCCACCACATCTTCAACAAATAGGCGATACGTGCTTACCTGAACGGAGGGAAAGATAAATTGGGTTCTCAAACATATCTTACTGTCATATGGAACTTCCTTACTGGTTCAGAACTAGTAATAAAATGCATAATGTGAAGCAATAACTAGTACAATGTAAGCAAAGAAACCGTGTTCCAAAGTTAGACCTACCAAACTTGATGGGATGACGGATATCCCAAATGAGTCAAGCTCAAGTGATTCTATGGCCCCAGAATTGATGTCGAAAGTGTATCCACGTACCTGTTGAATGAAAGATAAATATCTAAACATCCCTGAAATACTAATCAAAAGCTTTCCATTGCATAAAAATTAGTAAACAAATGAGACGAAATTCTCACTCACTTTTCCAATAATTCTGCGACCAGGAGTTACAACTGTGTAACCTACCTAGCACCAACAAGGAGCAATGGTTTAATGTTACCATATTGCAATAATGATAGCATAATCAAATAGCAGCTTCCCAGGTTCCCCCATCCCATGATAAAAAGAAAAAAGATGCTTCATCAATGTCAAGAGAAAAAAGTAATGCGACCCATTCATGTTTTGTGTATATAATTGACATCTCGAGAACAATCATTAGCGCTGATGACTAGAGTTGAATAAATTAGTCATATCTTGTGAATAGTTATGATAAACACTTCTCAATGTCCTTCCACCAGCCCATCAGACCAATGCAAACATATTGCTGAGAAGCAGTCTCGAAAAAAACATACCAGTGTCTCCAGCCCAAGTAATTTGAAGTCATTTTCCATCATGCTCTCGTCTTCAATGAGTAAAACATCACCCACCTACATTGAATATCACATTTCAATCACATGAGAGAAAAGCATCCAGAGACTCGTAAAGATAGCCATTGTCAGATTAGGCCATATACAGTAAATTAGAGTTGAGGGGTTTAAGCGTCAAAATGAAACAGAATCAACACACAGATGATCCGCTATTTTCCAGTCTTCAAGATTTAAATAAACATAATCAACAGCCACATTTGTTTACTTAATACTGAAATCCGACATGATGAAACAGAATAGACACACAACCCTTGAAGAATCTAATCCGAGAAAAACCTTCACATTGCAATAGTTACAGAAGAATATAGTGTAAAAAAGCACGCAGTTTTATCACCAACAAATAACTGTTTTTTTTATTTTTTATTTTGGAGTGCTACTCTGCGGTCCTAAAGAGTAAAGATCAATGGAAAAACCTTAGCAACATCCTCCAGAAACAATCTCTCTATTTCACCAGAAAGCAAGTTTGGCCTCACTTCCACAATCAACACTGTCCACTGCAAACCAAAATAATTAGATTATATATCACCCAATTTAAGAACAATCATGGCAAAGTTTGTCATTGCTGAAGAAAGAAGAGTTCCTCACAGATGCGGGGTCCACCCAAAGCTGGGAAACAAAACCTAAGGTTGCAGCTGACTGAATGCTGATGACTTGCTTGGCAATCATGGTGGACCTCTTCATCATTTGGTTCCTCCGCCTGATAGGCATAATATTTCCATCTGGGCTATCCATCTCCAGCCCCAAAATCTCATCTTTATTCTCTTCTCCACCTTCTTCTTCGAAATATGATGTTGAGGGCCCATCAATTATATTTTCTTGGGGTTCTTCTTTCTGTATCTGGGATTCCAATGGAAAGGTTTGGACTTGTTGGTCCATCTTCAACCTTATCTGGGGTTGATTGTAGGGCTCAGATTTGGAAGCCCTTGCTTGATGCTGTGAAAAAGTAGAGCAGAAGCGTTTGGGTTTGAATGGGGAGCTGAAATATAGAATTCCAACTCCATCGCCAGGTCCAGCTGACTGCAAACTCAGGTAATAATTATGAAACATGACATTGGAGTTCATATCCTCGTTCTGATAAGTAAGAACATGGTTAACTGGATTGTGGATGTCGAACTGATTAGATTAATAGATTATATCAAGTTTGGTTATTCTTATTTTTGGGTGTTTTTTTTTCCCTTTTCTTTTCTTTCCTTTCCTTTTAGTTTTAGGCTACAAAATGTGGGGAATTGTTGCCTTTAGACCCTTTACAGTAAAAAAAAAAAAAAGGGTCTTGGTAAATAATGTCAAAAGGACTTGAAACAAAACAATTGAGAATTGACAGTCTGAATAGTGAATACTAGGTAGAAAGACTTGAAACAAATGTCAAAATGGCAGAGCAGCATTGTTGTTCTCTCAGTCTCCACACATTGCAACAATACGTTTGCAGTACAGATAGTATTTATAGAAAGATTAAAACAGTTCAAAAAGGAAGAAAAGGAAAAACAGAAGAACAAGTAACGGATAAAATCACATGTGGTGAGGGGAAGAAGTTCCTCTTCTTCTTCTCAGCTGTTTGATTAGTTATCAGTTGATTGATTCTTTCTTTTTTGATCCTTCCATTCTCCTAGGATTTGTTTCAAATTTCTTGAGAGGGAAGGCCTGTTCTTCTCATGGCTGCTCAGCTCTTTCAGATAAGCAATGCAACAGCAGCAAATAGAAATCATCCCGTTTTCTTCTCTAATCCATTAATCTCAACAGCAACAACTTCTTCAAGAACAACAACCTCATACCCAAATCATCTGTTTAACAAAAGATTTTCTTATCCTTCTTATTCTTCTTTCAAGTGCAGAGCAGCAGCCTCACCCATTGAGGATGCCATTGTTTCATTGTCCAGTGAATCTCAATCTTTCTTGTCCAACAATCTCCCTGATTATGATCAATTTTTCCAGAGCTTGGCTTTTCAACAGCTGCCTGAATCCCAGAGATGGGCTTTGCTGCTTTCTGCTGGTCTTGCATGGCTCTACTTAACTGCTAGGCCAGGTGTTTTAATTGGTGCTATAGATGCATACCTCCTTGCCCCACTCCAAGTTGGTCTGGATACATTAACTGGGAGAAGAAGCTTGAAAAGGACTGATTTTTTAATTGGAGAAAGGATTGGAGAAGGTTCATTTGGGGTTGTTTATTCTGGTGTCATTGTTCCCAAGGGTGCCCAAGTAGAACTAAAAAATCCCACTGTAAGTAGTGCTAGAAGAAAAGCTCTCCAGCCAGATGATTCAATGTTCAAAGAAAAGGTCATTCTTAAAAAGGTATATGCATATATGTTTGTAAAGATTCTCCATTTAGTCTGATTTCTGAGGTTTAATATTTTGGCTTATCAGTGAATGAATTTGTTAACTAGCTCATGACAGGTAAAGCTTGGAGTTAAAGGGGCTGTTGAATGTGGTGAGTTTGAGGAGTGGTTTAATTACAGGCTGTCGAGGGCGGCTCCCGAGACGTGCGCTGAATTTCTTGGAAGCTTTGTTGCTGATAAGACCAATACCCAATTCATAAAGGGTGAGAAATGGCTTGTCTGGAAATTTGAGGTAATGAAGCTTTTCTGCGCTAGTCACATCTGATTATCAATATTGGAACTTACCAGCTTATTTATGCCACAGTAAAGTGGTAACATATTTATATTCTGAGTTTTGAGTTTCTGTGGATTAATCGCCCTTTGAACAGCTTCTTTTTGCCTTCTTGCGAATGTCATCTGAACTGCTAGCATCATTAGTCCACTAGTTGTACATTTTACCAGTATTTCTACTAGTAGTTGTTGCTGTTGTTGTTTGTTTCTTTTTTTTTTTTTTTTGGGGGTGGGGTTAGTCAGATAGTGTGCAGTTTAACGCCATAAGATTAGCCCTATTTTGTATCTCTATTTTATTAGGTATTCAAATGAACTTAGCCTCATTGCATGGACTAAACAAATGTGAAAGATAGGATGATTGATAAACCTCAGTACCATACACTAATACGGTGGTGATTATCAAAAATGTTGTATGACAGGGAGACCTTGACCTTGCGGATTACATGAAAGCTCGCAGCTTCCCCTTGAACCTGGAATCCATCATGTTTGGTCGTGCCCTGCAAGCTGAGTCCATTGAACGTAATGCGTTAATCATAAAGCAGATAATGCGTCAAATCGTTACTTCCCTCAAGAAAATTCATGATACAGGCATAGTTCACAGGGATGTGAAACCGTCCAACTTAGTAGTTACAAAAAAGGGGAGAATCAAGCTTATAGATTTTGGAGCAGCTACTGATCTTCGAATTGGCAAAAACTATGTACCTGATCGCGGACTGCTTGATCCCGATTATTGCCCTCCTGAGCTATATGTAATGCCTGAGGAAACTCCAAATCCACCACCTGAGCCGGTGGCTGCTTTGCTTTCTCCAATCCTATGGCAGGTCTCTGACTTATCCTTTTTATACACATATGTCATATCACTCGTTATGGCATCTTCTCGGTGCAAATTTGTATATTACATTAGCCCTAGCCTGATTCTGTGTATTTCAGTTGTTTTAACAGAATTTACTGCATGTCCATTAATGTGCTTTGTAAATAAATATGAGTATGCAAATGCATTCTATGATCTTGAAGAAAAGGCCTAACAATTTATTTACTCGCTGGCCAGCTAAACAGTCCTGATCTTTTCGACATGTATTCTGCTGGAATCGTGCTCATGCAAATGGCAGTTCCAACCTTGAGGTCTCCGGCGGGTTTGAAAAATTTCAATACAGAGCTGAAAACATACGGTTATAACTTGAAAAAATGGCGTGAGAGAACTAGGACACGACCTGACCTTAGCATTCTGGATCTGGATTCCGGCAGAGGATGGGATTTGGCCACAAAACTTATTTCGGAGAGAGGATTCATGCGAAGGGGGCGTTTATCTGCTGCAGCAGCCCTGAGGCATCCTTATTTCTTGTTAGGTGGAGATCAAGCGGCTGCAGTTCTATCAAAATTTGCATACAAGTAGGAAAGTTCTATAATATAAGTAGGAAAACTCTCTCCCTTCCCAGCCTTTATTTCACTGTGTCACCATCAGCTCTTATTTTGCACAAAAATGTTAAATATTCTTTTCCTGTCTAGGGTTCTTGTGTGAGCCAAATTTTCTTGATCTTCCTCGCCTGTCCGATCGAGAAGGGATGTGAGAACTAGTTTTATAAAAGTTTGTCGCTCGCGGTGATTTGACAGGAGCTGTTCTCTGTCAGCAGAAGAGACTGACGGGCAGAAGAAAATATCTTTCTATACAGAAGGAAACAATATTAGAATTAAGCCTATGCTATTCCAGTGAGTTGATTCCCGCGGCTCTTCTGCAGCAATCCGGATGTCGCAGGGCAGCCGACAAGATTGAATCGTGATCACTCTTTTGTTTTAATACTCTCATTCAAAAAGTGTAAACTAGATAGATCAAATTTGGCCTTCACAAATCACAGTTATCCTCTCTGTTCTTGAAGTTTACAGCCCAGCTCTTTACTTACCATACTTGTATACCATAACCAACCATTATGATTATATAAACACATACTGGAAAATTCATTTCTTTTGCTGAATTTGCATCAATCTGAGTAAGCTAGCTAGCAGTCATATCTGAAGGTCTAAATACTGAATGAGCGGTTAATATAACATATGGATACGGAAGGTAAGATTACGATAAGTGCATTTTCAAGTACAAATTTTTGGCATATGGATGCTTCTTTCCTCCAGGGCTTTAGCAGTATGCATGGCGGTATTAACAGGTACACAAAATGCAATAATACTGCTAACACTTTATTATGAAGACAACATTCAATATATGCCAAGTGCTGCTACAGCAGAGATTAACAGATTCTTATTAAGTTTGGTCTTTAATGTCAAGGAATTAAACATTGGCACGCTTCAGGATGAACCACAATAACAATGCCCTAAAGTTCATCATGGTGGATGCAACTCTCAAAGGCATGCTTCTTGTGGCAACCCCAGCGGCATTTCCAAGAACACAGGGAATTGAAGGCATCGAGCCTTTTAGACTGAAGATTTATGATATTGGCTGTCGAAGGCGACTTGGAAAGCACAATAGCGAGTCCATCGTCCATGTACTCTGTCCCTTCAGGAAACAGCTGCCAAAACAGGCTTCCGCTTCCACCACCGCCTTTCTTTGTGGAGTTCAAGAGCTTTTGGTACACGGTGCTCATGAGGGTATCGCGGTATGAGGAATTGTAGCCTGGATCTTTGGATGATACGCCAAACTCAGAAAACAGGACAGGCATCCCGAGGTAGTTTTCAGCATCATCAATGTGGATTTGCATCCATGACTTAGTAAACTCGAGATGTGCAACAGAGATATTGGACGAAATCCTTCAGAAAAAAGTAGAGTTTTGATACTTGTCAGGAACTTCCATATTTTCATGTGTCTGGCTGTTTGTGTGTGCATGCGTGTTTGATTTCACATTTGGGAGTACACTTACCAGCCATCAGGATAGATGTGTACAGAAGCAAAATCAACCCCAAGAATTTGATGGTTTCTAATGAAATCTGTGCCAACTTGTTGTGAGTAAGTGTTCGGGTTGTATTGAAACCTATTAGGCGTGGAGGGGCCGTAAAAACCTTCCACGCCGATATTCAGTAGATGTTTTGGATCAATGCTCTTAACATAGACAGCCATTTCCTCAAACCAAGCCTAAAACACAAAGATGGTCACATGAAAAAAAAAAAAGGATCAAAATCAAAATCATTCAAAATTCATGGTTTACTGATGTTGTTAAAATAAAATGGTTGGAACATGTTTGTTACGTGAGATACTTGCAAATTAAAGCCTAACCTGGAGTTTGTCCCCGGAAGGATCTGATTCACATCTCGGCTCGTTCATAAGTTCCCAAGCAAATATTGTTGGATCATCCTTGTAAACTATGTTATTGATAGTATTAACTCTGTTAAGAACCGTCTTCATCAGATGCCAATGCGACGCCACCCCCATTGGAAATGAAAAATTCCATTTGGAGAAAAAAGTTAGACGTGTAACATGAGATTTCAGTTTGTTTTGTTCAGGTCAAAACACTAGCAAGCACAATCAAATGATTGTAAGATATGGTAAGGTACCTTAACATGAGCCTTATAGTAGGCTCTGATAGTTGGATGGGAGAAAAAATCATCATCAGAAGTGAGGTTGGTTATTCCAGCATCTTTACCCCATTGCACATACTGTTTTTTGCCTCCATAAGCATCCCAGTTGTTCACCAATGGCAATATCAACCTGATCTTGAACTTCCTTGCTTCGCTCACGACGAAATCCAAGGCCTAAAAAGAAGAAAAGTTAGTCATAAACTTCTAATGCGCGCAGTATGGGAGGGATTCAACAGAAATGTACCTGAAAAACTATTTCATCATAAACAGATGGCGATTTCTGAAGAGCGCGCCACTGGCCATCATTGAACGCCCATGTCCTACACACGGTGAGACCTACTGACGACGCCTGCTGGAATAACTCAGTAACCTTTCCCCTGGTGGACTGATCAGCAGCAAATACCATGAGCCAGTAGGTATTGAATCCATTGACATAGAAAGGTTGTCCATTCACGAGGAACTGATTTCCTTTCCTCTGCGCCATCGCCCAATCTGATTCGGCTTCCATCCTGTTCCCGCCTCCCAACTCATCATCACCATCATCAAATAGCCTGTTGCAGTACACAAAAACAGACTAATCAGCTCGTTGCTGTCATATTATATTCATGAGGCCCATGGAACGCATACATACTGGCTATATAATTTGCTGGGATCAAATGAACTTAAATCAGGGTTGGCTGGAACATCATGATCCTCTAACAATGTAGCAGAAGAAGGGCTATTATCAATATCAGAGCAAGCTGATAACTGAAAGAACACAAGAACAATAATAATACAAGAAGCCAAAGTTACGTTGAGGTTTAGTCTGAGTTTGGTGCAAATATGTTTTGCATCATCCATGTTTTTGTTTCAAGTTAAAAGTGGAATGGTAGATGCTTCAGAGTCCAGCTCAAAGTCCAGGTTCATACACCCGTATATATAGATATGCGCGAGAAAGGTTCGAAAAGCGACTCTTTTACACGAATGGACACGAACATGATATTTATTTTTAGTGTTAAAACGAACAAGAAAAGGGGAAAAAAAATTGAATTATAAGAATATGTAACATGTAAATCGCAAAATCTGTCTAGTTAAAATAATTTTAGCGTTCCGACTAGACTTTTTTTTTTTTGAAACATTAAACTCGCAAACATAAAACACGACCATATCATATTTTTTAAGTTTTCAAATGTATCATAGACTAGACTGGTTAGAGTACACTCAAATGAATGAAGATGTAGGCCACAAACACCACACTATATGTAGACTTGGATTGTAAAACATAGAGAAGTGTTTGAGAGGATACCAACATCCATCCATCTACCTTCAAAGCAAAGATGCTCATCATGATTTGGTGCATGGGAGGCAATGTCCCTTTTCTCTTTCCTTCCTATCATCATTTTTATTTTCTTCTCGTCTTTTTTTTTTTTTCTTTTTCCTTTTCCTTAATTAGTAGCATTTCTTTCCCAGAAAACCATTGGCTAGTGGACCATGAATGTCATTCTAATAGACTTGCGCTACATAAATTAAGAGGTATAGGAAAGTGATAGATAAGCAAACTTACATTCCATTTCAAAAAAAAATAATAATAATAATTAACATAAATTATGGTAATTTATATTTGACAAATCCTGACTATCAATTTTTTTTCCATAATATTGCGTCCAATCCCAAAAAAAAAAAAACACTTTCGCCGTGATAAAATAAGAATTACATTGTTTGAGTACTTAGCTGAGCAACCATTTAAATTGCATTACCGGAAAAAGTTGATCATTATTTTGTGTTTTGTGATTCAAATTTTACATTTACTTTTACTTCCTTTTTTTTTCTTTTTTGGGAAAAGGAATTTCAGTTCACTTAAGAAATTACTAGAACAATAATTTTTTATTCAAAATTTAGACTTGAAGTGCCAAAAATTAATGTCTAGATTGGTAGGATGGCAAAGATAGAAGTATTAGTATTGTAATCCCGGTGCAATGATTCAAATCTTGTCTCAGAGCAATCTGTATTGGACTTTTTGTCTAATTTTTCTCAACTAAAGTACTAGTATTATATATATTTAGGAATTGAATGACAGCCTAGTGGTTAGGTTGCTGTCTTTTTGATGATATGCCAGAGTTCGATTCCTACCAGAGATGTAAGAGAGGTTTTATCCACATGTAAGTGAGGTCTACTGGGATGGTTTTTTTAGAAAAAAAATATTAATATTATAAAAATTAATTAAATAACTATTTCGCAACGGAAAAGTATGTAATACATAAATGGGTGACAAAAAAATTGACGGTGATTCTCTTTCATTTTCATTAACAAATCTAATGCAAACATTATCGCTAATCTTTGTGAAATTGGACTAACCATTTATCCACAAACAAACAATTTACATTAAACCGGGGTCGCTATGACTACCTTCTATCAGGCCTACCCAATTTCTCCATTGGACTTTGACTACTCCTATTTTTATTTTTTTATATATATATATATCTAGGCCAATTTCACCGGTCCAATTCAACATTGAATAACCGACTGATATAAAATCAGCAACATAGAGTTCATAGGATGGACAATATGAAAAAAAAAAAAAAAAAAGTACCTTGTCGGTCGGTCTCCGCCGTGGTCGGTGGATATTTCCGTTCTGCTCATGATGATTTGATGGCGGTGGATGAGGAGGAGCTCAACTGATGGCTGCTCAGCCGCTGGTGACCACCACGACACGATGGAGTATACGGCGAGGAGAGCTGAGAAGTGGACTTGCCGGAAAATGATCACTAAATTATTTTATGCTATTTTGAAGAAATTGACAGGAGAAATTGATAATGATCATAGTAATGGCATTTTCATACCTTCGTGTTTACGCATATGTTTTTACCTTTTTGAGGCAGACTTTTTTTTTTTTTTCTCTTCGACATTTACATAGCAGTAGTAGTAATCTTTTTGTGCAAACGTTTATGGTTAGGGGATAGCGGTCAATTAAATGTTTGTTTTCGCAATACTAGATTTTTTTATTCTTTACATCAAATGAGGCAAAAACGTGTAATGTAACTAGTTATAGTGTTACATCACGGTATATGTTTGTCATCCAATTCATGAGAGATCGTTATCCACCTCTTAGGTGTTGGTGTATCAATATCAACTGGGCTACATTTTTTTTTCTTAAAAAAATAGTTCATATTTAATTTTGAGATTTGTACTGATTCATATTGAGTTTTCAGATTTATATAAGAACAATATAGATTATTTTTAAAATTTGTACTAATGTATATTGAATTTTAAATTTTGCATGAGGATAACGTAGATTATTTTTGTTTTTTTTTTGAAACATAGAGAATATATAATAAAATAACTAACAAAAAACCATATATAACCTACCGCTTCCATGTAGAAATGTAATTTTCGAAACAAATCTCAGGCCTAAATGATAATGTCTTGGTGTGGTTACGACGAATCCAGCACCGCTCATGACGAATGCACCAAATCGAAGAGGAATTTTTATTATATTGCGAATTAATTCTTGACATAAGTTAAAATATTGGGAGGATCATCAATTGGACTAAATCTGGATGTTTTCTCTTCCATAAGAGTATATACAATGGTGGTAAATAACAAGTAAATACCCACTTTATTATACTGTATTTGTTATTGTGTTGAATGTAATAATATTATACGGTATAAGAATTCTTACACTATATAATACACTTTTTGGTATGAATTGTATTTAATGTGTATTTATGATGATACTAAAACTATTTTATTTTATTATACTGTACTTTTACAATGTAAACCAATATAGTAAAAAGTAGAATAAAATTATAATATTGAAAATTTATGACATTATACTCACAATAGTGTAAAGCATTGTGAATACTCTAACGTAACAGTCACAAGTCACAACTACTCACAAACATCACAAAATTACCACTACATCCAACCATTTCAAAACAAGTCATCACTAGGGCTGTCGATTGTTCGGGTCAACCCGAAGACCCGCCCGAACGGAACTGAATTTGGGGCGTTCGGTTCGGCTATTCGGGTCTGTTCAGGGCAAATCGGGTGTACCCGAACAAGCGAAAAGTTAATCGGTGCGGGTTCAGGGGGGAAAAAAATTATACGGGCCTCGCTCGAAAAACCGAATAGGGATTAATTTTTGAATTTTTTAGGGCCATATAAATAGGGAAGGGATTAGGGTTTCTTATTTTCTTCTCCTTTTATCTCTCTTCCTCCCCGCTCCTTCTCTCTCTTCCTCTCTTCCAGTCTTCCTCATTTCAACCTTGACGGCGGCGACAGTCAACAATCGCCGCCAACCGCCGTTTCAAGCTTCAATCCCACCTTTTCTTCTTTGTTAATTCGTCGATCCCACTATCAATCGTTTCAAATCTATCATTTTCTCCAAAAAAAAAATAGATGGTTTCCACTTAGGGTTTTGTAGATCTGGATTTCTGAACCAAACCATCGAATCGATTAGGGTTAATGGGTTATGAGATTAGGGTTTGAGCTTTTAGATTGGGGAATTGGAGGTTAGTTGCCATCGAAATTTACAAACTAAAAGGGAATTTCTCAAATTGAGATTAGGGTTTGCTGCTCGTCGTCCCAGATTGCTCTCCTTTCTGCTCTTCGTCCAAAAGCTGACTCTGTTAAGCTTCGGGATTCATTATCAGACCTTCATAGAGCATCAGTCTATAAGGTATATAGTTTTTTTTTCCTTTTCTACAATTTATTTAGTTAATAATAGCTCTATTGAGTGTTGACGGTTTAGTTGTGTGAGCTTGTAGGCTGTACTGCTTTCTGCCTTAATTTTTGTTTCTTCTTTTGAAGCAAAGTTATGATCTTTTCTTTTATTGTTTGTTGGTGTTAGTATTGTCGTTCGAGCCTGAAAGTTTGTTAGGAAAATGCTGCTACGTGTAAAATATTGTAGTCTTGTAAAATGTTGTAGTGTTGTAATGAATGAATACTGAAGCAGCTGTGGTTTTGTATTAAATGATCGTGTTGAATATTGATGTTGTCCTAGTCCTCCTGGAAGTATTTTATGTTTTTTTTTCCTTTACTGAATATTGAAGAAGTTGCTTATTGTAACATGGTCTGTTTGAAGCTGGTTCATCTGTTGGAAGCAACAATTGGAAATGCATGTTTAGGGTTTACTGGTCTGTTCATTGTCTGTTCTGGTTATTTAGGGTTTACTTCTGTTTTACAGTTTTCTACTGCAAGTTTATGTTTGCTTTAGCTTGTGAAATTTTGTGTAGCTTGTAGTTGTTTGCATGAGTATTACAGTAAACTATAAAGTATAAATTGATTTTCTTTCTTTTTGGTTTAGATGTCTCAGCTTGATGATAATCTTGATGAGTTTGAGGTTGAGGATCAGGACCTTGCGGTTGATAAAGGTTCAGTGCCTTCTCCTCCGTTGGATTTACCGAATGATGAAACACTGATGATCGATGTACAGATTGAAACGGGGGAAAGGGTAATAGGTGAAGGTCCTGTTGGTGAAGCAGCTACTGTTCGAAAGCCTCCACTTCCAAAGCAACGCAGGATCACTCGTAAAAGGTCTGTGGTATGGCCCCATTTTTCTACTTTTATTGACCAGAAAGGTGACCAGTGGGCTTCTTGTAATTTATGTGGCTCTAACTATAGGGCTGAAAGTAGAAAATACGGAACCAGTAGTCTTCATGGCCACTTAGCAAACTGTAAGAAATATTTGGCTCTTAGTCATGATCCTGGTCAAAGTAAATTAATTGTTGAGGGTGGGGAAGGGAAACCAACAACTGTAGGGACTTGGAAATATAATGAAGAGGAAATTACTAAGGCACTTCTCTATATGATCATAATTGATGAGCTTCCTTTTATTGTTGTTCAGAAAAAAGGGTTTAGGTATTTTCTGCGAAAATTGCAACCTTTGTATGTGCCAAAGAGTAGACAGACTGTACCGGATGATTGTTATAAGTTGTATTTAGCTGAGAAGGAAAAACTGAAGTTTGAGATTAAAGGGAATGTTAGTAGAATCTGTTTGACAACGGATAGTTGGACTTCTTTGCAGCAAGTTAATTACATGTGTCTTAGATTCGCGCAGCGGAAGATCCAGAGTTTGAAACTTTCTACACCAAAAATATTCTTTTAAACGAAGGTATTTGTGCTTGGATGGCGGCTCAAGATCAGCCTCATGAAAACCTTATATTCCCTGAGGAGGTTCTACCACGTGGAAACGCTCTTTAATGGAACTTTAGCTTTAGCGGGTCGTGATCAAGAAACCACCGGTTTCGCTTGGTGGGCCGGAAATGCCCGACTTATCAATTTATCCAGTAAATTATTAGGAGCTCATGTAGCCCATGCTGGTTTAATCGTATTCTGGGCAAGAGCAATGAACCTATTTGAAGTGGCTCATTTCATACCAGAGAAGCCTATGTACGAACAGGGATTAATTTTACTTCCCCACCTAGCTACTCTAGGTTAGGGAGTAGGTCCTGGTGGAGAAGTTATAGACACCTTTCCATACTTTGTATCGGGAGTACTTCATTTAATTTCCTCTGCGTACTGGCCATTATGTGGATAATAATTGGAATCTGAAAAAGAGAATCTTAAGTTTTTGTCCCATTTCAAGTCATAAGGGTATTGATATTGGAACTGCAATTGAAGATTGTTTGTTAGATTGGGAAATTGAAGATGTATTTACAATTACTGTTGATAATGCTAGTTCTAATGACTCTGCGATTGATTATTTGAAAGAGCAGTTTGCTCACCGTGAAAAATATCTTTTGGGTGCTAAATGGTTGCATGTACGTTGTGTGGCTCATGTTATGAATCTGGTAGTTAAAGATGGCTTGGATTATATAGGAAAATCTGTAGAAAGGATTAGGGCAGCAGTTAAGTATATTAGGCAGTCTCCTAAAAGAATTGCAAGTTTTAGAAAATGTGCTGAAATCGAGAAGTGTAATAGCTCTAAGAATTTAGTCTTAGATGTTTGTACACGATGGAATAGCACATATTTGATGCTGGAAACTGCTCAAGTGTATGAAAGAGCCTTTAGGAGATATGAGTCTACTAATCAGCACTTTAGAGACACTCTTAGACACGATCCTGAGGTGCCAAATTCAGGACCCGGGCTGCCTACTTCATTTGATTGGATCGAAGCACGGAGGGTGGCTGGTTTGCTTCAGCATTTTTACGAGATAACGTTGAAGGTATCTCATACAAAAACTGTGTCTTCTGATGGTTTTTTTACTGATATAACTTGCATTGATATGTTGCTGAAAAAGATCATTAATGAAAGTCAAGATTTTGAACAAAAGGCTATGGCTGAAATGATGAAACTGAAGTTTGATAAATACTATGGTGATGTTGCGAAGATGAACCTTGTTCTTTGTATGGCATGTGTTTTCGATCCAAGATGTAAACTGACTTACTTAGAAATTGTACTTTCTGATGTTTATGGGAAAGTTGATGAGAAACAGAAATACAAATTGATTCGAAGTGCCATGTATGATTTATATGCTGATTATGTCAGAATCCATGCCCCCCTACTAGTTCTAGTTTGCCTTCCTCCAATCCCGATTCTTCTTCTCAAACTACTTCATCGGGGAAAAGGCCTTCCCCTATTGATATTGAGCCTTCGAAGGTCCTCAGAGATAGATTTAGAATGGAGCTGTTGAAGAAGAAAAATGAATCAGCTGGTGGCAGAAATGATAAGAAATCAGAGTTGGAAAAATATTTGAAGGAAGATGATGAACCAGATAACGAAACATTTGACCTCCTGAACTGGTGGAAGGTGAACAGCCCTCATTTTCCAATCCTTTCTCTTATGGTTCGTGACATTTTTGCCATACCTATAACTTTTGTAGCTTCTGAATCAGTTTTTAGTACCAGTGGGAGAGTGTTGGATGCATTCCGGAGTTCTTTAACTCCGAAAACTGTTCAGTGCCTGATTTGTGCACAAGATTGGCTTCGGGTGCTGGTTGAAGATGAAGATCAAGATGTTGAAGAAAGCTGGGATGATCTCCTACGGATTGAAGAAGGTTGATTTTAAATTTATTTGTGATTTTCAGTTCTTTATTGTATTATTTGAATGTTAACTGTTTCTTTCTTCTTATTTTTCGTTTCAGCTGCTAAAAAAGGAAAAAAAAAATTGGGATGAGCTAGAGTTTTTCTTAATCAAGCTTGACTGAACTAATATTCTAATAGGTTTTACTTTGTTTTTCAGCAGCATAGACATGTTTTTCATCACTGTTATAACCTGAAAACCTTCAATCAAGTTGTTGATGTTGATAGTGTCCTGTATTTCTGAATTTGCAGCCTTGCTTGTTCAGTTGTTCCAGTTTGTTGATTGCCTATTTTCTGCTGCTTGTTGAACTGTTGATCACTTGAAGACTTGAAGTTGAAGAGTGAAGACTGCTAAGTTGGTCCATTTCAGTTGAAGAATGAAGTATGAAGTTGCAGATTGAAGACTCATTAGTCTTATTGAGTGTATTTCAGTTTGAACACTGAAATGAACACTGAATTTGTTGAATGTTGATTGTTGACTGCTAAAATGAACACTGAATTTCAGTTTGAACTTTGAACCTTGAATGTTGAATGTTGAATGTTGAACTTGAATGTGATGTCACTGATGTGTTGATTCAGTTGAAATGAATGTTGAACACTTGAACTTGGTTTATGAATGTGGTGTATTGATTCAGACTTGAGGCTTTGAAGTTTCAATTATTGTTATTTTTGGTTTTTTTTTTTGCCGGTTCAATCAATTTTTTTTTTGAATTCGGTTAAATTGGGAACCGAACCGAAAAACCGATTAATTAATCGGCTCGGTTCGGTTCGGGAAAACAAAATTTGCGACTTATGTTCGGGCGGTTTCGGTGAGATAATAAAACCGATTAAACCGAACCGAATATCGGCCGAATCGCCCAACCCAACCGAACTGACAGCCCTAGTCATCACAGTCAAAAATTGCCAAATCTACTTCACCGGTGGAATTAATCACTAACCCGATTTGTCACTTTCCCGGGCAATCTCTGTATCAAAGTCGGAGCACCTTCTCCAGAGGTAAATTCTGCAGCCCAGTATCAAGCTTTTCACTTTTCTCCTCCACACTCATCTCTCAATTCACTGTGAGTGGTTTAATTTAAAGCATGTCTTTCCCTTCAGAAATTCAAACCTATTTGTAATGAGATATCCATTCTTGATTCTGTTGTACTCTCATACGTGTCCCTGCTGTGAAGATTTGAGGCTTTGATGATAATGCTAATGAGTTTACCCGTTCTTCCATACCTTGATTTTCTACATTTTGATTGCTTGCTTTCAATGTACTGAGACATTACTTCAAGAGAAAAAAGGCAACAGAAAGGGACAACATATCATCGTTCTGTGATTTGTTAGTATTGGATTTGAAGTAGTTGCTGAAAGAATGGATTTTGGAATTGGGTTTGAATAATTGGCTATCACAGTATTGCATTTGAAGTGGTAACTGAAAACATGATTGTGCAATGGTGTTTGAGTGCTTGATTATCTTGGGGAGCATCATATTGTAATATTGTAGGGCCTCTCTTGATTGCTAGAATGGATGCTTTGGATTTTGGGTATATGAATTTGGATGTTTACGGTAATGTCCTGCTCTAAATGCGATACTATCTTTGTCAACGTGTTATCAACTGGCTCATTCGTTTTCTACCTTCCCATTTGTTTATTGAAACCTTACATCTTGCCTGTTTTTTTGTTTACTCTTTAGAGAACTGCCCGTCTTCCGATTAAAGAAGAAAGATCCCTTCTTGGTGGATTTAATGTGCATCTAGAAAGATCAGAGGAAGTGATTTGAATGGACGGAACTTTTCCACGGTCAATCTCATTAAGGCCTAGTCGAAGGCTGGATCACAATCCTTCATATCACGAAAATGGTAGTAGTTAGTGACCTTACTTGTATCTATTTTGGTAACAGCAGTTTGAACTAGTATCTTATTGCTTCTTTTTAGCAGTTAATTAATATCTTTGTCATTTTAGGTGAAAAATTCATACCGGATTATTCTTTAAAGATAACTTGGAAAAGGGGTTTCATTCGATGGGCTTTTGTGGCTGGTATCATTTGGATCCTAACTGCATTGCTCTTCCCCATTTGGTCATGCCAATCTTGTGGCTTTCTTTTCAGGTACTTGGTGCATTATGTCATTTTGAGTCACTTATTGGTTTCTTGTTTACTAGGATTTTGTTTACAACTTGGTTTAATGAAAACTTTTAAGAGGATTCTCTCTCTCCTTTTTTTTTTTTTTTTTGGGTACATAGGGGATTTTTTTTTTTTCCTTTGCTTGCATTGTTCAATGTGAATAGTTGATCAAGTTTCTGAATGGAACATACTTCATGATATGCCTTCATCTGAATAGTTTTATTATTGTTATTCTTATGTTGTAGATCTCCAAGTCTTAATCGTGTTAGAGTTCATATACTGGAAACCAGTGTGTCATATGCTCGAATTTCATCCTTTTGTTATTTTCATCGGGAGTGAGTCTCTTGTTGTCAGAGGTTGACGCCCTTCCAAAATCCCTCATTTGGGAAAACATATAGTTGCAAATGGATTCAAGATGATCAATACTTTTAAGTACATTGCTGAGTTCACTTTTAAATTTGCGGACGCAGTTTTTCTTTTTTTTGTTTCTCAACAGGTTGTGTGAGATGATTGAACCTTTTATTAAAAGTCCAGATATTTCTTCTGTATTCATTCTGATTTAATGGTGTTTGTGCACAGCTTATTGTAACAGGGAAAGTACGGTGTTTGTCATGCTGAACTCTATGGGTCTGGTGAATGCGCCACACCGTAAGCCCTCCTTTCTAGTTCACTCAGGCCCAATCCCTATGTCTTCTCTCTAAAATGAAGAAAAAAGAAAATACTGCACCATCTGTCTCGTGTCTTTTTGCATGTAAGTTGTAACATCAACATTTCTTCTTATAATAACCAGGCTGTCCCATTCCGGTGGTTGACGACCCCAATACTATTGTTATTCCAAAGAGACGATCACCTGATAAATTTGTTCAAAGTTTATCTTATGTATTGGAGGACAAAATGGCAATGAATGGATCTCAATCAGTTCCTCTTTTTGGAGGGCATGAAACCTGGAAACAAAGAGATGAAAGCTTCAAAGTTAAGCCTACCATGAAGGTATGTACCCCTTTTTTTGTTTTTGTGTGAGGATTCTTCTTTCCTCAACCTTTAACGAAAAGCCTCGCAAACTGAATCTGGGACAGCAATTAGAGATGGCATCTGATCATGAGCAAAGAGTTGTTTTTTACTGTGGTTTGGTTTATGGAATCTTAAGATATCCTTGCTAACTTGGGAGCTAGAGATTTGCAGCTTTTTAGTTTGCAATTGCAAAAGGACAAGCAGCATATTTAGACTTGAGAAGTTCTTATGCTGATGGTCTTAGAATCTGCATATAGGAATGAGATACCATATAGTGATTGAAACTTTGATGTTCCCTGCATACGGTTAGATTTTTGAGTTTATAGTTACATAATTTCTCTTTTTAATTTTTTATAGGTCCTATAACAGGTGCATTGTGGCTTTATGAAAAACAGTGGTGCGGAGATGGACTCGAAAGACAGAATATTTGTCAAAAAGTGTCAGTTTGTGGTTGCATCTGGTATATTTGACAGCTATGACACACCCTTGCAGCCATCAAATATAAGTGAGCATTCACGGAAGCTCTTTTGTTTTTTGATGGTGGTAGATGAAGTATCTTATAAATTTATCAAGGAAAATGTTACTGTTAAAGAAGATGAGGCCAACAGAGAGTGGGTAGGTATCTGGCGTCTGATTTTGCTGAAGCATCCTCCTTATGATGAGCCAAGGAGGAATGGGAAGGTTCCAAAGATATTGACCCATCGGTTATTTCCTGAAGCACAATACAGCATTTGGATTGATGGTAAAATGGAGCTTGTAGTTGATCCTTTGCTTATATTGGAAAGGTATGTCAGTAACTGATTACTTTGGCATAAACCTTCACCCGTTGTTTAAGCTGATAGTGCAATGCTTATACGGCTTTCAGATGCCATTGGTGCAGTTTAAATGTTTTATTGATGAAAGAAAAGAATAAGTTGACTTGAAATCTTTATATCTGATTGTTGTGGTTTAGTATGAAAAAGAATTCGGATGGTAGTCAGATAGCTGATTTTCTAATCTTATTTTTTGTGTCTGTATGCAACAGTGCTATCCTGACAATTTGTATACTGATTTTTACTTTTCCTTCAGATATCTATGGCGGGAAAAGCACATGTTTGCAATTGCACAGCATAAGCATCATAGGAGCATATATGAGGAGGCTGATTCAAACAAAAGGAGGAAGCGATATGCTCGTCCTTTGATTGATCTCCACATTAAAATTTACCGTTATGAAGGTTTGGAGCCATGGAATCCAAAGAAAAACAGTAAAAGTGGTAAATGAGGAACCTTACACCTTCTATATTCATCTTTGTCTAACTTCTTTTGTTTATTGAGTTATTCCCTAACTAGTTCTACCTCATGTTTCTTTGTCGATATCTTATAGAAGTGTTTGTATTGAATATGCAAATGTGCCTGAAGGTGCCATTATAATTCGTGAGCATACACTACTGAATAATTTGTTTAGCTGCTTATGGTTTAATGAGGTTGACCGCTTCACACCAAGGGATCAGCTGAGCTTTGGGTATGTTGTTTATCGGTTGGGAGGGATTTTTAAATATTTCATGTTTCCGAACTGCAAATACAACTCGCTATTTGTATTGCACCCACATATTAGGGAACATTCTTCTAAAATAGAATGGGTGAAAACATTAGCTGAATTCGAGAAAGATCCTAGTTTGAAAGAGACCAGGGGAGGTCTAGGCTTATGGACTCCTTATCCTGGGAATCTTGATTTGGTTGTCTTACCACCTGTGTCAAGAACATCAAAAGCTGGATGAAATCAGTGAAAATCTGCATCTTTTTTCTTCTTCAGTACTGTGATGAAGATTTGCATATTAATTGGACATCATTTCTGCAGTTGTATTTTCCTTTTTCTTGTTCAATTGTGATGGAGTTTTGCACGTTGATTGACCAACATCATTTCAAGATGTATCATTTGCAGTGAGGACGATCGTCTTCAAACCTTCCTGTTTACTGGAATCAGGATTAGGGAAAGCACCAAAAATAAATCAATAAATCCACAAGCATACGTATTCAAATCAGAAATGACCAGTAACAAGTATCACAATAGCCCCAAAAAGTTCAGATTGAATTAACACACGATCAAAAAACCAACATACTGGCAAAAATTAAACTAATTCGAATGTGGGACTGCTTAGAGACTACCAAAGCTCTAAACAAATTATGTGAAACAAATTATTCGTGGTTGTTTCTGCTGAGAGCTTTAAATTTCTCATCAACTGGATCTTCTTCTATTTCCTCTTTCGTCAAGAGGGAGGAGTAGGGTTTTCGATTTCTCTTCTGCTTGTGTTGTCTTTCAGTTTCTCATCATCTCTTGTGATATCCTGGCAGGAATCACTCTTCGTTCTCCGGGCCTTTCATCTTTCATCTTAAACATTTCATTGGACATTTCAAGATCAGACAAAGGTTCAAGAGTAAAAGGCACATGTTCAAACACAAAATGATACTCCCTCTGTCTCAAAATTATTGTCCAGTTTGTCATTTCATTTTTAGTACAAAATTTGAACTAGAAATAAAAACTCGAAGTGGATAATAATTATGGGACGTAAGGAGTACTTGTTGTTAAACCCGTCGTGACTGACTTCCCTGTCGCATTGCCATGATCTACCTAGCAAAATATTGGTCTCGATCAACATCGGCGAGACAAAACATTCCACTTCATCAGTGTATACGCTTCACGATCCTGTCCTCCTTGATCACCAAACCCTTAAACGGCGTCACTCGGGATGGCTGACAGATTTCACGATCGCGCTTGGTAAGCGATGTAGTTGGCAATCCCAATCTGTCTACGAAACTCGACTCGCGTAATTATAAACCATTCCTCCATCAATAGTCAACAATCCGTCCTCATTTTGTACCAAACAGCGAGTATAGAAACGCATATGTCGTTGAGGGTGGTAATTATGGCCTCGGATTCGCAGGTTCCGGCGAACTGATTGTCCTAATTGTTCCGGAGGTTCTCCCGCGCCGCCGCTGTCGACGCTGTCAGGGTGGTCTCTTTTATTGAGGTCGATGACATAGTCAGCGACCCTATTTAATATACACAGCAAGTAATCGGCGGCGGCGTCGCCGGTAATTCCATGAGCATCTGGATTGATGGTGTACTCGATCATACTCCATTTCCATCTTTTCAGAAACACTGATGGGTTTTCAATTTCATCAAACGGTGTGAACTCCAAAGACCTCTTGTATCCTATAACTCTTGATGTCGTCATCGCCCCATCACCACCACCGTCTCCGCCACCGTCCTGCGCCGTCACGACCTCTTTTTCAGAAATTGGGTGCCAAGTTCCACATCCAGGCACCACCAATGGATGATTATCATCGACATCATCGTTACAAGTACCGGGTTTGGTGAATACGTGAGCATAATAATGGTTTGACAAGGAATACCCGGGCTTGATCGGCTCCTTCAGGATTTTCCATTGGAAAGGCTCCCACCAGTTCTTTTTGGGAAAGAATAAATTCCAGCCGGCCGGGATATTACAGTCGCCGTGGCCGTACATATCTATTTCGGTGACGAGGTGGGATTCCCAGGCGGCTTAGAGGTGGCCCTGACCCAGAATCTTGTTCTTCAGGAAATACCCGATTAATTCCTCATCTTTGGGGTTGAGATCGAATTTTCTCTTTCCTGTACACGGTAATGCCATCGGAGGCGCCACGATTTTGCTGGAGGAATGAATTTACAGTAGTAATAATGAAGAAACCCATCAAAACAATATATAAATATTAATGAAAAAGCAGAAGCAAGAATATGATTACCTCTTTATCGAGAACAAGACAAGACTAATCCCCCTGCAATGTTATCTAAAACTAACCCTAAGAAGGACGCTACTGTTTTGTTGCAGTAGTATTTTTCTTTTCATGATCATTTTTTTTTTCTTTACTGAGGGAGCGTTAACGCTTAGAACAAAAGATAAGCTCCTTTAGTCGAGGGCAGACAATCAGCAGTTAATTTTCCTAGACAGTCACTTGGGAGGTTTTACTAGAAACAAAACGGGGGTCTATCGAATTTACATTATGTACAATATTTAGATTGTCCATTTGTAATTGAGATTTCGTGAAGCCGAGTTTCCATGCTATTTTCAGTGCAAAGTACGTGCTCCAATACTCAGCTTCCAAAACAAAACAAAATCCTAGTTTTGCGGCAAAACCAATGACCCATTGCCCGTCGGAGTTCCTGACTACTCTACCTGCTGAAGCATTTTTGGATGTGGGACAAACAGCCCCATCTGTGTTTAGACGAACCCAATGCTGGGGTGGAGGCTTCCAAAGGGGTTCCAAGGGTGGTGTTGGTGCAATACAGTTAGAGAACCCATCTCTGTTACGTATTCTTTCCACTTCTTTTATTATAGCCATAATAGAGAAGGAGAGGCTCCTTGTATTGATATGCTTGTCTGCGAAAATTTCCTCATTCTTAGCATCCATAATTTTCAACAGGTCATCACAGAAACTGTTGGCCATCTCTGCGAAACGAGAAGGACAAGTTAGAGGACACCCAAACTGTCCAATCTAATTCAGTCCAAAACCTGTGATTGGGGGGACTGCCAATAAGCGACCAAATCTTTTCATGATCACTTTGATCACGATGGATTGAAAATAGTGAAAAGGCAATGGCTCAATGGGGCTTCCAATGGGCCAAATAGAGGACAATGATGGGCTTCCAAATCTTCAATTAGTCGCAGCCGAATGACTTGTGTTTAGGGCTGGCAATCCGTGCCGGGTCGGACCCAAACCCGAATAATATTCAACCAACCCGGACCCGACCTGTATAAATAAACAGGTCGAGTTTTAGAACCCTAACCCGACCTGAAAATATTCAGGTCACCCGTGACCCGACCTGTTAACCCGAAATTATAAAAAAAAAAATCTAAAATCAAGAAAAACTAAAATTGCAGTTCCAAAAAAATCTGAAAATTCCAGTTTCAAATCACATAAATTACAACACCTTTATCCAAAGTCCAAACAAGTAAAGAACCAGTATTCAAATTACAAAATTAAATTCAAATTACAAACTTCTGCTATATAGAAAAACACAAAAACACGGAATCAATACTAAAATTTCTGAAAACTAAAATCATATTTTTCTTCACTGCATTCCCGCAGCAACTCGCTGCCCGAACGCCAGAGCTTTTTGACTGAAAGTCACAGAGAAAGTCACAGATCAGATGCCCCATTTATCAGATCTTTCAGGAAAGGTTTCAATTGAAGAGAAAATTAAAAGAAAACAAAAAAAAAAGAAAAAGAAACGAAAAAAGGAGAGAGGAGAAGAGGCAGTAGCCGGTCAAGCGAGAGAGAGAGGAAGAGAGGAAAGAAAAAGAAACACAAAAAAAAGAGGAGAGGGGAGAAGAGGCGGCCACCGGCCGAGCGAGAGAGAGAGGAAGAGAGAAAGAAAAAGAAACACAAAAAAAAAGGAGAGAGGAGAAGAGGCGGCCGCCGGCCGAGCGAGAGGCAGAGGAAGAGAGGAAAAAAAAAAAAAAAAAGGAGTGAGGAGAAGAGTGGCTGAGGGAGATGGAAGAGGGGTATATATATGGGTAAAATTAGGGTTATTTTGTTACAAAATTTCCAAATTGTCTCTATAGTATACAAAATTTACATGTTCGCGGGTAACCCGGGTAACCCGCAGGGTTGACCCTAACCCGACCCGTATATTAAACGGGTCTAAATTTCCAACCCTAACCCGACCTGTTTAATATGCTTGTCGTGTTCGTGTCGGGTCATTTCGTGTCGGGTTCGTGTCGAAATTCCGAGTCGTGTCAGAGATTGCCAGCCCTACTTGTGTTCATTGAATACTAGTGATGGGTTTGTGCGTTGCCCGGGATGTGAAAATATTTCGACATAATTGACAGGAAAAAATTTTCAATTGAAAAATATTTTTGTTAATCACTAGTATTAAAACCGTACGTTGTGCGCATGATATAGTATATTATATATTAGTTTAATAATTCAAAAAATATATTACTTCGAAAGAGAGTCGTATAATTAGGAAAAAAAAAACACTATCATAATAACTAAAGTTAGTGTTTGGTTTATTTCACTTTGTATCCCGATTTGGCTATGGGACTTTTTTTATCACGTGTTTAAGTCTTTGATTTTTTTAACAGAGACTTGATGATTAATTTCGATTTAGTTTTCCTATTTTAGAGTGATTTGTCCCTGTTTTTTTTTTTTTTTTGTGTTTCAAGTACTAAATGAAAGTGATAACGAACAGTTAAATTCAGTATTATTATATAAACTGTTAATCATGCATGAAAGGGAATAAGATATGCATTTATGTATGATTTCCTGTACACAAAAAATAAAAAAAAAAAGATGAACCAAATTTAGGGATAATAATAATAATAATCAAAGTAAATATAATTAATGAATAACTTCATTTATTCAGAATATCCTTATCTTTTATTTGAATAGTAAATCTATTTTAATTTATAATTTTGAATACTTGAAAGTAATATAAAATATAGATAATAAAAATAAAAAAATACCCTAAAACTTATGCTAAAACTTTTAAACACATAAACAAAAATTAGCCACCGCCGCTCTCTTCTCCTTCGGCCATCCATCGCACCTCCCGTCCCTCAAAATTTCTTCTTCCATCATCATCATCATCATCCAGCCTCCCATCATCATCATTCCCATCATCACTCATCTCTCCATCATCATATCATCCACCCTCCCAGCATCATCATCCCCTTCTGGAGTTGGCCGCTGTTCATCGCAAAATTCTGTCTTCCGTATCACTATGAAAAAAAAAAAAGAAAAATCTGGTGTTTTAACGAAGTTAACTCTGCCAGATATCGTAATTGGGGGAATTGGCTTCCATTCATCACAAAAAGATGGTTGTCGGTGTTCTCGGTGCTGATTTTTTAGCCAGTATAGCCGGTGATGTCGCTGTATTATCAATGCCAGTGCAAGTTTTTAGGAAACATCGTTGATTATGTCCGCGGCCATGTGCTGATGAGCCCGAATCCTTCATGTATTATATCATTCGATTATAGTCGCCGATGATGTCAACTCTGAAATTTTTATTAGCCGGAGTGTTATGCCGTCCAGTTCGATTATAATTGAAGGATAGAAATTAACCGATGTGTGAAGGCGAATTTGAAAAAATAACCATTTTACTTTTATGAGTTTAAGATGAATTATTTATTACAATAGAGACAAAGTAAAAAAGTAATAAACTTCAAAATATGACAGAACAACTTCATAGATCAACATGGAAGATTTTTATTATTAGGAAAAATGTTATTAAAATTCTGGGCAGGGATTGAAAAAAGTAACTACATTGCAACCAAGGAAAATTGTACCTTATCTAATTCTTCTTTGTAGATTATGATTTGTTGTATGGGTACCGAATTCCCATTCTTTGCGGATCTTTGTCAATATCTGTACCGAAATGGCTGATTTGCTTGTACTCTTCCTCATTCATGGATTCTTGAAACTTATATATTAGGTCCTTTTTACTTTGGGCCATGTATATTAGGTCCTTTTTAATTTCTCCATGGCCCAGTTCCCTGCAAACTAAGTAATACAACGAAGAAAATAATGGTGTAGTAATCAAACAACCACAATGATAAGTATATATATATGGGAGTGACTACGGTCCAGTCGACTGAATGATTCAACCAATAATATTAACCATTGGATGATAAGAAATGACTCTCACCGTAGGATTAAAGATGTGGAGCACCGAACCCAAAAAAGAAGCGTAAGACTGGTACATTCACAGGTAATAAACAAATTAATCAATTTAATTCTAGTTTTTTTTTCTCTTTCGTAATTCTTTGAAATATAACACATTAATTATTTTTCCCTTCATAAAACCAAATAAACTACCACTGTTGTACAACGAATCAACCTAAAAATATATTTTCAATACTTTTAACTTAATTCTCAAAAAATCACAAACAACATTATTAATCCAACTGTAGCAAAAGGGTTCGTGAATTTTACTCTTTTCTTCAATCAACTGCAAATATAATTTGTAATCCCAAAACCAATATAATTTAAGGTTTTATTCATGTTTTTCTAAAAATTTAATCCAAGCACCAAAATGTGAATTCTCTTGTATATTCCTAACTGCAAGCCAAATATAAGAAATATTTTATTTTATTTCACTTTCCTCATACTCTTAAATACTGACCTGCTACCATGGTAATTATATATACAATACAATTCTCCACCTGAAGTGGAAGAATTAATAAGGAGAAAAATCAGAAAGCATGTCTAATTTAAACTTTCCATGTCTTGAAGTAAACGGGAAGATCGTGAAATTTTATAGTAGTAGTGGTAATTCTAACAAATATAATATCAACCATTTGAAGTGGAAAAAATAATGAAAACATTACTAAGAACCTGAAGTCGAAAAGTAGTAAGGATACATACAAATATTATCATTGTGGCGTAGAAAACCATTAGGTTCATATTATTTATATGCCGACAAATATTTTATTGATCTTTTTAAGAAGTTGAAAAGAAAGAGAAGATGAAAGAGACGAATTCAATGGTTCTGTTGATAATGAATTGATACATATTAATTCGATATATGTTGAATTCTTTGTCAATCACCCTAAAATTGATAGTGAAAATTTATCTAAAGATGAAAATGTCTAATATTACACCCCGAAGGTGTTTCTATCTTTTGTCACCATAGTAATGATACTATTTGATATTTTATATCAAATTAGTTTGAAGAATGTACATATTTGAAATTGTTAACGGCAAAGAAATAAGGCTTTGCTCATATATAGTGCACCAAAAGATGTTAACAATGAGCATGTGAATAATAGCATCAATAACGTTACCTCTTTGGATGTTGTCAGATTTTGTTAACTACCCCAAAGGTAATGCTAGTAAATGGTAGACACATCGAAAACAGTTTTGTTTACTATACTTACTTATATGAAATAAGTTTTCATTTTGTATTTTCAATAGAGTAGGTTGTATTAATA